GGAGCCTGTGCTCCGCAACGGGAGAGGCCACAACAGTGAGAGGCCCGCGTACCGGGAAAAAAAAAACAAAACAAAAAACAACTAGATACAAGACTTTGTAAGGGAGACGTGCAAATAAAGGGCCCTAAAGCTTCACAGTCAATCCACCTCTGTTAAATAGGTAATACCTTTGGTCATATACTGTTGACACATGGAGAAGCACTGCTGTTCCTTAAGACTAGGAAACTGATTAAGAACCAACACATTATCCAAACGAGGCCATCCAAAGGAAACCATGTTTGGCCAATGTGTGGTCATATATCAACAATATAATGATCAGAGCCTTAATCTAACCACTTATATGAAAAAGGGTATCTGATGAAAAATTCTCTTTACAACTTAAAAAAAAAAGGCAAGGATTAATTCACGTTTTGCCTATCCTTTGGGTTTCTTGACCTTTGTTCACATTTAATCATTATAAGGACTTAAAAATCAGTTTTGAAATAAGGACCAAAATGTCTGTAAATGAACATGAATTAACTCAACCCTGTATTCCCTTGATCATCAACCACCTTCCAGCAATGAAAGAGGAAAAACTTAGGAACAAATCTCAAATTATTTTCTTTTGGTGGAAGAGGTACCAAGTAAGTATATATTCTATAGGCTAAAGACCTAAAATTTAAAATAAGAAAAGAAAAAAAAAAAGAGTGAGAGAAGAGAAAACAAAAGGAAAAATATTTTCTATGTGAGATGGGCTAACACTTTTTCTTTGGAAAAACAAACACACGAGTAATCTGGAAATTCAACATAGTGATATTTGGTATTGGTAGAAAGAGTTCTTACCCGTTTTACTAAAGAAGTTGCCTTTGATCCACAGACAACTTAAGTCAGTTAAGGTGAATTAGTAATTCGTTCATAAGATAACAACTAAAATTGTTAACTACTCACCCTCCTGCAGCAGCAGCATGAAGGCATGTTCTTCCAAATTTATCTGGGGTGTCTATTTCAAAGCCTGCAGACAGCACGTGCTCATTACTAAACAAGGATACTATGCTATACTTTTGTCCTAGTTAAACCACAAGAAACATTGCAGAGACAGAAAAATCAGTTAGTAGAAAAACCAGAACGCAAGCCACAGTAGTCAGAAAGAGGTTGTCATGGAAACGATCGGTAACTGCTCAAGCTTGGCAATTTTACAGGAAGAACCATGAAGTCAAGAAGAATTTATTTTCACATTCAGCCCTGGGTGAACTACAGCCCCGTATTTCAATCCCAGGATAGAAATTTATGAAACCAGTTTGAGATAAGTAGGGCAATAGACAGGCAGACAGAACACATGGAGAAAACATGGAAGGCAAAGGAGTAATCGTAGCATGCTAGAAGAGATATTTTCTTAAGTGTATTATTAGCTTTCAGTTGGTTTAAGATTTGGGAAACGTGCTTTCATGCAGGGGTTATTGTTAAACATGCCAAAAGCAGTGAAAGCAGAATCAATCATAAGTAAAGAACTTAAAGGAAAAAAAAAAAAAACAACGCCTCTGGGATATCTGTTGAATGAATTCTTAAGCAATCTTTGCCTTGCAGACCTCTATCACCTTTGAAAGCCAAGAACTTCTTAATACATGGAGGTTGCCAGAAGCAGTGATAAGAAAGATTAGCAAAGCTCCAAACCAGAAAGAATTTCTTGGTTCCAAATAGACCCGCATTAAAAAAATAAAAATGAAACCTAGTTGGAGGGGTATCAACTACAGCAGTTTTTCAGAGCTCAAGGAGTGGGATGGTAATTTGACATTTTCTACCATTAAAACGTAGGGGATTCGGCCTTTTCCCTTTGTTGAAAAATATGAAATGTTATGCCACCAATTTAAGCCTCAAAGATGTTTTCTCCTTCTATGAGAAACTTCCTGTAAGCTATGGCCATCCCTGCCTGCCTCTCACTCTGGATCACGTGAGCTTTAACTTGATAAACAGACAAGGCTCTCATTCTGGGGCAGGAATACTGACATTCAAAGAGCTTCAACACCATGAGCCGCTGGGAGCTGTCACATGCAGTTAGCTGTGGACACAACTCATCCTGCCAAGTCGGGTCATGGATGACATGAAGCACAGGCAGCCGCTCATGCTGACCAGACACCTGAAGCCACACGGCTCATTTACAGGACATGTTAAGCCTGATCTGTGGTAATGGAGTTACTTACCCGATGACAATAACTTTCTGCAGCAGTCAGAGTGAGCATTGAGGGCAGCTAAATGTAAGGGGAACATGCTATGGATTCCACACCTGAGGAGGAAAAAACAGAGCAGCTCACGGTAACAGATCTCAAGATACCCGCAGAAGGGGGATGATCTTTCTATAAGTTCTCTGATGAAAATTAAACCCATGAGACCTTGCTTAGGGACTCTTGGCTGAAATAATTAGGCAATCATTTCTATCTTAAAATAATAAAATCCTGGACCTAAACCACAACGAAAAGCCCATAACAACAGAAATAGATATTTTTAAGAAAACATTTCACATAAACAGTGACTCTAAGCATTTAAAATTAATTTCTTTTTCTTTCAGCTTAGCAATTTTGTCCCATTCATTCACTCATTCATTCATCTGTTTAACACTTTATAAGCATCAGATACCATGCTAAGTGGAGAAAACATGAAACTGACAAACCCTCGACTTTGAAAAGCAACCTGTTTTATTCCTTGAGTTGATAAACAAATATTTATTATTGACCTATTATGTGCCAAGCATTTTGCTAAGAGTTAACAATGGCTATATTACTGGAAATAAAATTTTGGATGAGAATTAAAACTCATTCTTTATATTCTTCCTCATTCTTTATATACATGTATACACAAATATTTAATATGTATAAATATTCACCTTTGGCAAGTGAAACTTCGTCTTCCTAATAGCCTTTTATTTTGCACGTTAACCCACACAAGAATAACAGTCACAAAATAGTTAACAGCTATCTTGCATATATTTCATAAATCTAGCATATTTTCCCTAACAGCATTACAGAAAGAATCCACAAGAGGACTTCTAAGACTGACCCCTGCCATAACACAGTCCCTGGAACAACCCCCTGAGAGACAGGCAGCTTTCTGATGGCAGTGCTTTGGGCCTTAGAATTAAATCCTCCCTTAGAATTAAATCTTCCTCCTCCTGCCCATCCCCTCTCCCCAAACAAGGACCCAAAGTCAAAGTCGTGAGCTGAATTGTAGTTCAAAACAAACAGCATCATCAGGAGGTTCCTGTGTACTTAGAAGCAGGTTAGTGATCCCTTCTCATAACATCTCATTTTATTCAAATAATATATTTCAGATATTGTAAATCCTCTACATAACACAAGGAGTATGAGACTATTTATATTTACACCTGCAGCATGAATCATCTAAGTTTCTTCCCTAGCACAAAGTGGCCCGTTTCCAGATTCTATGCTGAATGAAAAACCACATGTGATTTGAATTTGTTAAGCTTGAGACACATGAATTTTATTTGCTATCTCAAAAGTTATTATGATGTGCATGAGTATGTGAAAGTATATACATGTTCACAGATAGTTCATGGTATTCAGTGTTCTGCAAAATTCAAGTCTGCTAGCAATTAACCACCTCTCTCTTTTCATGAAAACTTCTTTTTATTTGTTGGTGTTTTTGTTCAGTCTTCCCTCTGTTCGTTTTCCTTTCCCTATATGGAGATTTCCAACCCAGTGTATGTAATAGCTGGCATCCATCAAGAGATGCAATTTGCCCGTCTTCCGGGTAGTGTCACGCAGAGGAGAACTGCTTGCAATTGCCTCTCTTGTCATTTACAAAAAAAAAAAAAAAAAAAAAAAAAATTCTGAAAAGCAATCGCATCAGTGACAACCTTGACGCTCCTGAAAAGGAAGAGAGAATTGGGGGATGGGACAGAAGCTTTTTATTCGTGCTGCTATTTATATTGTTCCATCCCTATGCCAATGAAACACACTAATTTTTTTTGATGTATAACACGTTTTAAAAACTCTTTACTAAATGGAACTTTAAGCTAATAGGATTTTACCTAACTATTTTACTTGTTTGGGGGAGTTAAGGCAAAAATCTTTGATTAAATATTTCTGGACATTTGCAAGAAGAAAATGGATAGACTCTTTTCTAGGATGGTTGTGAGTTCCTGTAAGAACATGCCTAAAACAAGGAGTGGATTTGTCAAGATTTCTTTGAGTCTTCCTCATTCTTTATATACATGTATACACAAATATTTAATACGTATAAAAATATAAATACTTTTAGTATTTTAAATATTTTAATATTTTCTATATACATACATGTACTCACACATATATATACACAATATTTATGATATAGTTTATATAGGTACATAAAATATACAACTTTATATTAACTAATACAAGCAAATGAATTAGAGAAAAGAGTATCAAACTCTATAATAAAACAATCAAGAAAAACATAAAGTATGAGCTATTTTAACAGCCTCAGTATAACATATTTCATAAACTTCATTATTAACACTTCTAACCAACCTTACCATTTAACACCATTGTCTTTAGGTAATTTGTCACACTCTACATTAGCTAATAATTTCATTTTTTTCTGCTGCTACTTATAAACCTGAGAAGGTAAGGGAGGCAGAACTCTAAAAGGCCTAACAAAAATTCTCTCTTTTTTTTTTGTTTGTTTGTTTTTTTGCGGTACGCGGGCCTCTCACTGTTGTGGCCTCTCCTGTTGCGGAGCACAGGCTCCGGACGCACAGGCTCAGCGGCCATGGCTCACGGGCCCAGCCGCTCCGCAGCATGCGGGATCCTCCTGGACCGGGGCATGAACCCGTGTCCCCTGCATCGGCAGGCGGACTCTCAACCACTGCGCCACCAGGGAAGCCCACAGAAATTCTCTTTGATATATATTTTTTATTCCATAGTTAATAAAAAGTCACTACCTCAATGCAGGTTTTGAAACATATTAATTTAGACTCAAGTACTATTGGCATTTGAACTTGAATATGATGCTCCGGTTCAAAGGGAAAAACTAAGTATCAGGCCAAGATGGGAAAGAAAGTAAAACTAGAATTCAGAATCTCTGAATCACTTCAGAAATGATTCATGTGTTTCAAAATAAAATTTCTCCTTTGTTGTTATAAAATAAGACTGCTTATAAAGGATCTTGGGCTTCCCTGGCGGCTCAGTGGTTGAGAGTTCGCCTGCCGATGCAGGGGACACGGGTTCGTGCCCTGGTCCGGGAAGATCCCACATGCCATGGAGTGGCTGGGCCCGTGAGCCATGGCCACTGAGCCTGCGCATCCGGAGCCTTGCTCCACAACGGGAGGGCCGCAACAGTGAGAGGCCCGCGTACCGCCAAAAAAAAAAAAAAAGTAATAAAATATTTTTTTTAAAAAAGAAGAAAGGATCTTAAAACCTTTAGCAGGAAACTTAGGATTTGGCTGTCTCAGTCAAATAAGAAGCATTGCTCTGATTTCATCAGGTCTACATCAAGGAAGATCAAGAAATAAAGATGCCAGATAACACTAAACTTAACAATGCATAAATTACAGGAAAGGGAAGACCAATTCCAGTTAATTTGCTACATTTATTTAAGCAGTCATAAAATTAATGGAACATGTTTGTATTAGCTATTTCTAATTTAGTTGTTAGCTGGCATCTCCTACCCAGTTATCTCAGAATAAATGAGGTCAGAATAAATTGTAGAGAGCCATCAGAGGTGAGGAAAGGGTTTTTGCACCATTAGAATACCAGTTTTTTTAAGTTTTCCCCTTGGCATCGGGGGACATGGCTGTCCCTTTCCGTATCCAGGCTTTTCTAGAGCCTTCCCTTAGGCCATATGGTAAAAAACACTGTGGTTAAGGTGATGGGGTCAGGACCTTTGGGTTTCAGTTCTAGCTTTGCCATGTGCTAGCTATTTGATCTTTGGCAAGTACATAATGGTTCCCTCACCTGGAAAATAAAGATAATAACAGTGTCAATCTTATAGAACAATTGTAAGGACTAACTGAGATAATGTGCATAAAGTGCTAAATAGAACATCTGACCCACGGTTAAGCCTTCACCATACATGTTAGCGGTATTTTTGCCCTTGCAACTATTATCAGCTTAGCTGGATAACCAGCAGTCTGTGAGTTTTGAAGTGGTAATCAGGTTGCACTTCCTTAAAATCAGGTGTGTGATTCCTTAAAACCCAAGAATGAAGTGTGATCAGCTAGCGTTTCTGTTCTCTCTATATATTTCAAAATGCTTTACCATACTTATCTCTCAACTCTCCCAGGGAAGGTGGGATTGGTTTCGTTTTGCCCACCAAGTGGGCGAGACAAAAAATTTGATGATTTTAGATCATCAAATAATTTTATGTTTCTTACTCAACTGATCACACCAAACCCTAAAACAAACTTCTTATTAACTTTTATCTATGCCATTCCAAGTATTTATCATGCACCCGTAAGTTATAGGCACTTGGGATAACTGACAAACTGACAACAATGAGGCCTGGTCCTTGCTGTTTACGACCTACAGACATTTTCAGTGGTTCCTTCTGTATCAAGTCCAAACACTCTAACGTGGCTCACAAGGCCCTTTCTGGATCTGACTGTTGCTTAATCTCTGTGACCTTCTGTCCCTTCCTCCTGGAAGAGCAAGGCTCTGCCCAGCCCTAGGTTTTCACATGCAGGGCCCCCCTGAAACTCTTCCCATTCTCTCCTGCTTCCCCCAGTGTTTCTCAAACTAGTCAGTGCATCTCTGGGGGTTGCTGGAAACATCTTAGGGCTTTTAAGAGGTCTCTGTGGCAATTTTTAAATTGTTTTTTCCTTTTGATGGTAATCTAAAACAGCTGGCATCAAAGCATATTTCAGCTCATCTGAAGGACCACCATATCATCACACACCTCTGTCAAATTTCAGCACCCACATTTGTACTTAGGATCACAGCTGTGCTGGTAGTCCGACTTTAATTGCCAGGGGCTAATGAGAAAAGAAGATGGACTTAATAGAAAATGAAATGTCTGAGTCTAGGGAGGGCCAATGATAATGTAGCACACTTAGCCTCCTGGATGCGCGGAATTTGGCAGTAGTCTGAGTAAAGGTCTCTGTGCCGTATGACGGGTCCACTGCCCACCACTTTAAGTCACTGCAAAACCTCCACTCCCATGGTGTGTACTGGATCCTGAAGACTCAGCACCTTAGCCACCAGGACCATAATCCCATGCAAAATGTGAAGTATCACATCATCCACTACAAGGAAGGGCAGCAAGAAGCCTCCTGCCCAGGATCCAGACAGCCGAGGATGGAGTCCCATTTCCGCCCACTAGTTCTGTGACCTCAGGTAGGTAACTGAACCTCTCTGTGCCTCCTTTGCTTCACCTGTAAGATGGGCATAATCATAGCACTTACCCCATGGGGTTGTTGTGACAGTTAAATGTAACCTCTCAGAGCGGGGCGTAGCATAGGTAAGCACTCATGAGTGTTTGTTACTATTGTTGTCCCGTGCGTTTAATGTGAACATTGGTGGTTTCTGTTCGCATGTATTTTGTAATTTTTTTTGATTTATTGCTATATTAGAGTCAAAAGCCTAAGGAGTTTCTATCTAGTCTTATGCTTATACATATTCAAACATTATAATACAAATAATCTAAGTTGATGCATGGGATCTGAAAGACTTTCAATGACATAACTAATCACTACTTGTCCTACAAGTTAACAACCCTCTTCCTGGAAGCTTTGCTGGCCCTGCTATCTCCCAGATATATTTTCCTGTATCCCAGTGGCACCTGGAGACTGTTCTGGCATCACACTTAGCATGTGTGATTGTCATTGCCTGTTTACTTCTTTCCCCCACCTCCGTAGGCTATAAATTCCTTGGCAGGGAGCTCTGTGACCCCAGAACCTGACACAGTGGGTGACACTTAACAAGCTATCAACAGATATTTAGCGAATATAAGAATGTCAGAACCAGTTACCTGTAAAGCTACAATACTGCTAATTCTGCTGCAATTGAGGCAGAAAAAGCAGTGAGAGCATAATTGGTAAGATGGAAGACAAATTAAAATCCTAGAGACAAGCACCCCAAACCTAACAAGGTTAAAGAAGAAAAAACCCAATGGCTCCGATACCATGTAAAGTTGCATAAGCACCGAGTCACACTGCAGAAACTTCTCTGACTTAAAGTTCAGAGAAGCAAAAAGAATAACAAAGAACATTCAATCGAGGCCTGAGAATAAGATGCAAATAAATTCATCAGAAAGTAATGACCATAAAACTTGTCATAAAGAGATCTTTAAAAATACATTGGCCATATTGTTTATGAATGAAAATGGGTTATTTTCATAAATGCTCTTTGTTCACTTATTTACAGAAGGAAAGGCCTGCTTTTCTCCTCTTTAAGGAGCTCTCCTGCATAAATCTACAAGGAGCCCAGAAAACAGTGACTTTCTGGGGAGTCTAGCAAATTTAATCTTTTCCAACTCTCCTGCCCCTCACTTGGATATTTTTTCCTTAGATGACTTCCCTTTCCACAAACTATACACACACACACACACACACACACACACACACACACACACACACACACACGCAATTGCTGCTTTAATGAACCACTGTTACTGAAGGGAGCATGTCTTAACCCCAGATAACGCCGTGACAGAAGAAAGCATACGTATGTGGCTCTTTGAGGCTGGGACAATGTTTCCCTTGTCATTGTCCCCAGGACACAGCATGGTCAATGGAAGGAAAGGCTACTTGAACAACAATGTCATTCCTAAGGCATTTTTGCCACAAAGTTTGTATTCGCATAAGTTGAAGGGAAAATAATTACGAGGAAACAGACTTTGTGTTTATTGAGTTAAATGTGTTTTTTCAGACATTTTATGTAAGTTTTGGGCCCAGTTGATCTCTATCCCTCAAATGAGTTCAAATCTGAAAGAAAATCAGAAATTCGTGGTTCTTTGGCTAAAACTTCCCAAATAACCTAGAGTTGAAAGAAAAACATCACTGAAAATATTAACATACCATAGGTGAAGCTGGTTTGTGCCTAATATTTTATTTCTGCTTAACTGACACTGAGCATTTAAAATCTCTGGCTTTGGGTAGCCATGGCCTGCTTGGGAACTCTAGAATCTGGTGAAAGCCTCCTGAATCCTAGTACACGGCTCTTTCCAGGAAACTGAGCTGCTGCTTTTTTTTCAAGGTTTTATTTTTCTTTCTTTTTTTCCCTTTTTTAATGTGGACCATTTTTAAAGTCTTTACTGAATTTGTTACAATATTGCTTCTGTTTTATGTTTTGGGTTTGTGGCCACGAGCCATGTGGGATCTTAGCTCCCCGACCAGGGATCGAACCCGCACCCCCTGCATTGGAAGGCAAAGTTTTAACCACTGGACCACCAGGGAGGTCCCGAACTGCTTCTTTTGATTTGCAACCTCCCAGTCAAAAAGGTCCATTGGCTTGAAGCAGATTCCTTTCTCTTCTGAGACAACCCACTGTTCTTGCTATTTGTCCGCATGCCCCCTCCTCTGTCCACCCTCAGTCTTGTCCTTAGCCCGAGCCCTCATCTTTTCTTCTCTGGACATTTGCAAGAGGCTGCAAAGTGTTTCTAGCCTGGACCACCTCCAATCTGTCTGGACTGCTATGAGAGCGATCTTTCTTACACACAAACGGGAGCCTTAGGCACAACCTACCCTACACCCACTTATAATTCTTTAATTCCGAATTCCGAATGCCTCAGAATGCAATCTAACTCCTTAGCAAGACATTCGAGGTCCTCTGAAATGCGGTTCTTCCTACCTTTCCACCTCATCTCTTTCCACTCCCCCTAACATGTTAGATAACCCGGCCTTGGGAATCTGCTTTCAACATATTCACATGTCTGTGCCTTTGTAAATACTGTTCCCTCTTCCTGGAAGGTCCTTCTTTGCTTCCCCTTCTATCTTTTTTATCTCACACGATTCTGTCCACCTGGCAAACTCCTATCCATCCTTCTTCTTGATGAAATGTCACCTCTTCTGCGGAACCTAGAGATAGTCAGTGTTGCCCTATCCAAACCTCCATCATAACACATCTCATGATGCTGCAGTCACATTTGCCCTTGATCTTATCTCCACCACTGGACTGGGAGCCCAGAGGGCCACTGGAACCCACCACGCCCTCCCTGGACCATTTAAACTTTGGCTCATTCTCCACCAAGATTTTCAATTCTGTTGCACAACCCTTGACAAAATAAATTAGAATTCCTAATGTAACACTGCCCTCATATTTTGCCTTTCCTAAAGATTCAGTTATTGTTACCCCCAGTCTCTATAATAAGGCCAAACTATTTAGGCATTTAAGGCTCTCTTTAATTTGGTTCTCCTGCCTATTATGAAGTAATAAAACCATAGTTAGCATTTATTGATAGCTTCCTATGTGCCAGGCACTGTTCAAAGAGCTTTTAATGTGGATTATCTTGTTGAATAACCTTAGCAGATGTATTTCCGTAACTCATACTCACACAGATCTTAACATATACCAGAGTTTTAATGGTGATTAAGTCCTTTAATCTTCAATAACAAACCTATGGTAGGTACTATTATTACTCCCATTTTTCAAATGAGGAAATCAAAGCACAGACAGATTGAGCAACAGGCTCAAGGTCACACAGCTCACAAGTGAGGTAGCTTGGACTGGAGCCCAGCTAGTGCCCAAGAAAGCCCGGGTCCCCCGCACTGATATAACAGTGCCTCTGGGCAGAGCATGGCACTGTCACAGGCCTGCCAGGCCAAGCTCCTCCCGGAGCTGGGTCTGTTCCTGCTTGCCTCCCTGCTTGGGATGTCTGCCACTCTCTGCTCTACTCACATAATTCTCATCCTTCAAAGCCTACCTAAAACTCACCTTTTCCTTGAAAACTGTGGCCACCTTTGAGCTCTATCCTTCCTGTCTACACTCTGTGGCATATACTGTCTACACCAAACGTTTTGCCATTAAAGTCCTGTTTCATTTTGAACTTTATTAAATACGATCTTGCATGGTTCTTTGTCTTAAGTGGGCCTTGGGCCTCCAACCAAATTATGAGCTCCTGGAAGGTACCAACCAGTTAACTTACTTCTGAAACTTCCCACAGCACCTAACATTGCAACAGACTCATACAGATGCGTTATATATTCTTGTTGAATTAAAGTACAAAATGAAGCCAGGTCCCCCCTTCCCAGTGTAGCAGATTTACTCAATTGCACCGTATAAGCGTATCATTAATATGGGTCATTAATACATGCAAAACAGCACCCTGAATAAATTGAGTTTGCCCAATTATGCTTTATTTTTCCTGCTTAACTAACACTGCACATTGGAAAAAACAGAAGAATATTAAAAAGCAGAGTTAGGAATAAAGTCCAAGTTTCCTTAATTAAAACCACTGAAATAGGCCTCTTTCTGATACAGCTGAAAAATAAAACTGGCTCTTCCTTGCAACTGTCATTAAAAGTCAATTTAATTCAAATTTAATCTGTGTTTAGCATAATGGTGAAGATCTACCTTAACCTGGATAAACGGGAACTATCTACGGCATGGCAGAATCCCTTTGGCAGTATTCCCACATGTGGAAATTATTCCACCATATTTTTGCAGTAACCTACTTGGCTGTGTCAGCTCCACTGGTTATTAAGGTGTTAATCAAAAGTTCATGACCGTATCTTGCAGCCACATGGAGAGGAGTGTTGCCATCCTTATCCACACAGTCAATTTCACCTCCTGAAAAAGACGTTTTAATACAGAATTACATAAGGATTCAGGTTGACACAGATACGACATTTTATGCTAGTCACTCACGTTACCAAATGTTGGTTTCGTTTCTACTCTGTGCATCTCTGCTCTCAAGGACAAGAATGCTTTTTAAGTGGACAAGCTACCATCTGAGGCAGTAGTATTATTAAATCTGCATGGAGGGAAGTCTATTAGAAATGCTTTTAGCTAGAAACAATAAACGCTGGAAAGGGTGTGGTGAAAAGAGAACCCTCTCCTACACTGTTGGTGGGAATGTAAATTGATACAACCACTCTGGAAAATAGTATGGAGGTTCCTTAAAAAACTACAAATAGAACTACCATATGACCCAGCAATCCCACTACCGGGCATATACCTTGAGAAAACCATAATTCAAAAAGAGACATGCACCACAATGTTCATTGCAGCACTATTTACAATAGCCAGGACATGGAGGCAACCTAAATGTCCATCGACAGATGAATGGATAAAGATGTGGCACATATATACAATGGAATATTACTCAGCCATAAAAAGAAACGAATTGAATTATTTGTAGTGAGGTGGATGGACCTAGAGTCTGTCATACAGAGTGAAGTCAGTCAGAAAGAGAAAAACAAATACCGTATGCTAACACATATATATGGAATCTAAAAAAAAAAAAAAAAAAATGGTACTGATGAACCCAGTTGCAGGGCAGGAATAAAGAGGTAGACATAGAGAATGGACTTGATGACATGGGGTGGGAGGGCTTAAGTGAGAGTAGCAACGACATACATACACTACCGAATGTAAAATACTTGGCTGGTGGGAAGCAGCTGCATAGCACAGGGAGATCAGTTTTGTGCTTTGTGACCACCTAGAGGAGTGGGATAGGGAGGGTGGGAGGGAGGCTCAAGAGGGAGGGGATATGGGGACATGCGTATGCATATGGCTGATTTGCTTTGCTGTGCAACAGAAACTAACACGGTATTGTGAAGCTATTATACTCCAATAAATATCTATTAAAAAAAAAAGATACATGCAACAACAACAACAAAAAGAAATGCTTTTAGAAAACCTTTCCATAAAAAAAAAATTAAAACAAAACAAAACAAAAACCTTTCCACATTGTCTTATTTAAGGTTCCAAAATCTTAAAACTAGATTCCCTCTGAATAAATAATGTAATCAAATTCCACAAAATGTAACTCTGAAGACACATTCAATTTTTAGTTTTACTTGCTTAATTAAAGACCTATGTAAATAAACCTTATGCTAAAACATAAGAACCAGAAGGAATAGAGTGTTCAGGAAAAGATTTTATGTAGTTTGATTATCTAAATGCTGATGAGTAAAAGCATCAACCATAAACTGAAAAATCTGTATTTATTAAAACTATAACATTAACCATCACTTTAGTAACACAGTAAACATCTTATTTTATTTTGCCTTCTTTTTCCCCTAATTTTTATTTTACTACATTTCTTTCTTTCCCTCACCTTTTCATATATATATGAAAAGTTATATATAATATATAATATGAAAGATAAGTAGTCTATTCATTCATTCGAAGAACCATTTAGAAATAAGTCAGACATCATGACATTTCACCCCTAAGAACAAAGACAGTCTCCCACATAACCATAATTTCATCATCATATCCAAGAAATGTAACATTGATACCATAATTTGATACCATAATATGATACCATAATATAAGTGCATATTCCAATTTCTCCAATTGTTCCCCCAAATGTGCTTTATAACTGTTTTTTTTAAATCCAGGATCCAATCAAAGATTCTGATAGCATTTGGTTGTCATGTCTCTTTAGTTTCCTTTCATCTAAAACAATCCTCCTGCCTTTTATGTATTTATATATTTATCTCCCATGTCATTGATATTTTTGGAGACCATTCCGGGAGTCATGTAGGATATACTGCATTCTGGAATTGTCTGATTATGTCCTCATTACTAGATTCAGGCTAAACATTTTGGCAAGAATACCCCAGAGTTGAATTGCACTTCCCATCACATCTCCACAGCACACACATAAGGTCAAGTTTTTCCATTATTGGGTGATGCAAATTCTGATTATTTGCAATAGGTACAGAGTGTCAGTTTGGGAACATGAAAAAGTAAGTTCTGGAGATGGGTAGTGGTGATGGCTGCACAACAATGTGAATGTACTTATTAGTGCCACTTAAACGTAGTTTAAATGGTAAATTTTATGTACCACAATTAAAAAAAAGAGGCTTGATTATCAGTAATATCAGTAAGCTGATATTTTAAAACTAAAATACATAATTTTAAGCTACTAATACCATAATGTTTAGTTTGTATATCTAAACTATACATACACATTTATATCTTCCAGAATAAGAAATACAAGAGATGCCGGCCAGCACTCTCCACTGTACAAATGTCTTTTCCCCTTTTGTAATTAACAAGGAATTTGTGGGTGATACTTTCAGACTGTGCAAATACTCTATTTCCCAACAAAGTTTCCCATAATGATTTCAGCATACACAGCGAGTACTTCGGTCAAAAGTTATCTGAACTCTTTATTCTTTGTGCTTATATTATCAATTTGATACACAGGTTCATTTGATTTTGTTTTCAAAATGTTTACCAGCTTTGATTGCATTTTATTTTATTGATATGTAACACACGTTTCAAAAGCCAAAAACTCTGCACTTTTAAAAAGTCCCACTCTCATTTCTATCCCTTTCACTTCACCCTCAACCACATCCTATAGTAATTAATCATTTTCTTTAGTTTTGGTTTATGCTTTCTGTGTTTCTCTTTGCAAAAACAAGTACAACAGAATCTTTTATACCATGCTTTTTTTTCTTTTTCCCACTTAACAACATACCCTCGAATTCACTCCTAGAGATCCCTTCTTGGAAATCTTCCTCATTTTTGTACAGATTAATTATTTTTCATTGCATGGATGTATTAGTTAAGTACACCAGTCCGGTATGGATGGGCATTTAGGTGGTAAAAATCATTTTGCCAATATCAGGAATGTTGTAGTGAATAATCTCATTCTGCAAGTGTTTTGTATTTGTTGGGTCTATCTTCAGAATAAATTCCTAGAAAGGGGATTTCTAGGTTACAGAAATGAGAATGTGGTTTTGTTCGATTTTGCCACGTTTCCCTCTTTAGGTGCTGTGCAATTTTGCACTCACACAAGCAATGTATGAGAGTGCCTTTTCTCCCCAGCCTTGTCAAGCTTTTGAATATATACCACGTAATGAGTGAGAACTGGTATCTTCGTTGTAGTTTTTTCATTTCTCTTGTTAAGGAAGTTGAGAATCTTTTAATATATTAAAGGGCCATTTGTTTACCTTTTTCTATGAACCATTTTTTCATGACATCTGCCCATTTTTCTAAGAGAGAGTGAGTGTGTGTGTGTGTGTGTGTGCGTCTGTGTGTGATCTTTTATTCCTTAATTTTTAAAGGTTCTTAAAATATTTGGGAGATTGCCCATTTATCAGTAATACATGTTGCAAATATTTTTGGCCTAGATTTTCATTTGTCTTTGGTGTTCTACCCTGAAAAAAATTCTTTTTCATAATTTATGTCTTTTATTGTATTTAGATTTTGCACTGTAGTTATAAAGGCTTTCCCCACATCCTAGCAATAAGGAAGCTGACATATGTGAAAATATTTGCTACATGCATTAGTGATAATTGGGTAAGCTTCCAAGTAGTTTAAGAGTCCTTGAAAATCATGAAATAAGGAGAAATCAAGGAGAGGGAGGAATGGGGAGTGACTGCTAACTGGGATAAAGATTTTGGAGGGGTGTGATGAAAATGTTCTGGAATTACATAATGGTGATGGTTGTAAAGCCCTGTGAAAATACTGAAATCCACTGAACTGTACACTTTAAAATGGTGACTTTTATAGTATATGAATTACATCCCAGTCAAAAAGGAAGGGCCTGAAGAAAGTAGGAAAAGGGGAGGGAGTAAAGGACAGGGAAGCACACCAAGGAGAAAAATCACATAGTGTGTACTCTTGCTTATGTAAGCCCACACGCACTTATGCTTTTAATAAAAGAAAGCACCTAGGATATTGGGGCACCGCATATAAATTATTCTAAGGTTTTATTTCCTGACTATCCTGTTCATAAACAAATCTCTGCATCATTATGGAAAGCAGTAAGTTATTGAATTGTCAGCTCATGCTCTTAGATACCAGGTATTTTAGAATAGGTCGAATCTTTTTTTTTTTTTTTTTTTAGAATAGGTCAAATCTTAAGCTTTACTCCCATCATCAATTATATTGAACTAAAGTAAGCTGATATTTTAAAACTAAAATACATAATTTTGAGATACTAATACTATAATGTTTAGTTTATATATCTAAACTACACATACACATTTATATATTCCAGAATAAGAAATACAAAATCCTGAGAAATGAAAATATTATATAAATGGCTTAGATCAATCTAAAAAGATATTCAGCATTTACTTTAAATAATATTTATTACTGAGAAAGTAATTTTCTCACTGTAGAAAATTTAGAAGATGCAGTAAAATACAAAGAAGAAAACAGAAGTCATCTATAAATTCACTGATTATCCGAGATAATCAGTATTAATACTCTGGATATATTCTTCCAGTTGTTTGTATGTGTATGTGCATTTGTGTGTGAAGACATTTCCCATGGTTGAGATCATAGGGTAGAAAGAGTTTTGTATCTCCATCTCCCCCTTAATATTAAATCACAAACACTTCCCATGTCATTAATTAGTTTCATTAACACAACTGTAAATGACTACATGATATCAGTATTTAGAGAATTCACTCAACAAGTCCCCAATTACTAGGCATTTAGGCTATGCCCAAATTTTGCCATTAGGAAAAACACAGGAACGAACATAATTATACATAATCTTTATCTACCATTTCAGATCATCTCCTTCAGCAATATTTTTACAAGTAGAACTACTAGATCACAAGTATGAATGTTTTTAAGGCTCTTGATGGACACTGGCCAATTGCTTTTGAGAAAGGCTGTGCCCATTTGCACACCCATCGGAGGTATACTTGAGCACCAAAAGGAAGCCATTGAGAGTCTTTTCAGATCTGAGGAAAAAGCATTAACTTCCAGGCCAAGACACTATTTCTTATAATATGACCATTATAAAATCTTCACAATAATATCTGTATGGTCCTTCATTCTAATGAATCCTAACTATGACCACCAACTCCCTAAGATCTATTTCCAACAAACAATATATTTTCTAGCCAGGTGTACTGGCACAACAGAGTTAATGAACGAGAATCTCTCCTAAAAAGTGAAATAATTACAAATATGTGTGAGCTTTGTAGAAGGGGAAGATGTTAAGGAAAAAAAAAAAAAAAAACTCCAATTAGTACATATGTTTACACAGGATTTAAGATGCTTTACTCTGCAGCCAAGACTTTGGCATGTAGAGTTTAGCTGCTGCCAATAAATTTGCACGTTTGGAGTTTGCAACTTAATAGCCATTTACAAAAAGGTAATCCCTTTTTAACTTTGTGACAGAGAAATATAAATGGCCACTTGAATACAAATGCTGATCTTTCCTCATATCTTTGTGTCTGTGGCACAGTAGTGATTTTTAAAATCAGTTGTTCAAATAAATGGACTACAGTCATTTCTGTAAAAGTAATAATTATGTATCTTTATATATACATTCTTAAATACATAGAAAAATCTGGAAGTTTCACCAAACTGTCAATAGAAATTCTTGGGATGGGGTTAGGGAGACACATTGATGGGGGTCATGGGGGAATCTCTTTAATAAGTTAATTTTATTCTACAGTGAGCATGTACTAATTTTATAATCAAGAAAAATTAAAATAAAATTAGTTATTAAAAACTTCTAGGGACTCAAGAAATAGTTCACAGTAATCTAAATTTAGAAGTATCCAATTTAGATCATTTTTATGCCTTGGGGAAAGGCAGCCACCTGGTCTCCATGGATACCTCAGAGCAATCCAGGGTACATGTATCCATGTGAGAGCCGCCCACAGTGGTCAGCCTGAAAGGTCCAACCACCGAGCTGATGTGGGGAAATGTGGGAGACAGATCCCCAGACTTCAAAGAAGTCTTTCAAACACTACATTGCTCATGTCCTTCCCAGCCAAGAGTAGGGGCTCCATGTTTACCAGCCTCAAATATGCCAAAAATTGGATAGGAAAAGCGAAGAGTGAAAAATACTGGAAAGGATGGAATAGAGGGTCTGAGCTGATAAAGTTTCCTGCTGTTACTGTCATTTCATAAGTCAATTTAAAACTGTAAAAATATGGGTAATTATCTTTGTCATTTAAGATATACTTCTAGGAAACATCATAACTTAGTAGAAAAATAAAAGAGAGTATTTGTTATTCAGAAATATGTTTTATATTAAAGTAGGACCTCTAGATGAATGAATTTCTATCTTATAGTCACTCCCGAAGCCTTTCCATTTTCATTTGCTTGGAATGCAAATTGAATATCTTTTTAAAAAATTTTATTGGAGTATAGTTGATTTACTATATTGTGTTAGTTTCAGGTGTACAGCAGAATGAATCAGTTCCACGTATACATATACCTACTCTTTATTTTAGGTTCTTTTCTCATATAAGCCATTACAGAGTACTGAGGAGAGCTCCCTGTGCTATACAGCAGGTCCTTATTAGTTATCTTTTTTTTTTAGCAAATTAAATATCTTTACTATTCATTTGAAGGTTGCAAGTTAAATGTTGGTTATCGATCATTGATTATTAGTGAGGAAAATAAATATCCATGAGTTTAGACATACGCAGAGCACATCAGAAGGCATGATTTATGTAGCATTATCTAGGCATTCATCTGAAATTAGTTTTTCATTGCACAAACAAGAATAGTTATCTTATTAAGTTGCCTGAGAAAGTCTGTGAGCCCAAAGGTCAAAAACCTCACAATGAATCATCCTATCACTTCACTTTTCCTTTTCAAACTTTTATTTTTAAAGCTTCTGTGAAAAAAACCCATCATTTTGAACTTTTGTAATCTGCTGGACAGCATCTGAGGCAGCTGCCTGTGCAAAAGGCCAGATCAAATGCCTTCTGATATCAGATTGTGTCTTCGTTTACTTCTTTCCCTCTCTGGCTCTGACAACACAGCTTCAGACAACAAACAACGTGATTGAACCACAGAGGTAGTCTTTGCTTATTAACTTAAAAAAGAAAAGAGTCTTTTGGGTTTTTTCCTTAAACAATCACCTTACGAAAGCTGAATGCTTCTGAAAAAAAAAAGTTATCATAAAGAATTAATAACCCTGACTAGAGATCAGTAAGAGAAGCAGAGAAATGCTGCACAAAGTCCAAACATCAGAGCCATTTAACAAAACAAATAAACAAACATCAAGAATGTTCCTCAGCAGGTCTTAAGAGCCAAGTGATGTCCCCATGGGGGACGGGCATTCCAGGTCCTGTCCGTGGTTACCCACTCTGGAGGACAGACACCAGGCCCTGGGGGTGTGAGCCTCTGGGCTTTTCCCAGAAAGCAACCAACAAACAGGAGGAAAGAAAAGAGCTTCCTATTCTTGTCCCTAAGGGCATTTTTTAAAAAAAAGTCGAATGGAAGAACTGGCAGTTCTCACATCTGCAATGAATGCAAAGAACTGTGGGCTGAGAGAAGAGAATGCCAAATCATCCTTTTACAGGGATAAATAATGCTCTGCCAAATGCAAGCGACTCTTAGAGTAAATAGAATTCAAGTTAAAAACCATTTTAACCTGTCATTGTTCATACAGAGAAGAGTGGTTGACAGTTCAGTCTCCAGTGTTAGAATTCCTGGGTTCTAAACTCTGTTCCTCAACATACTTGCCATGTATCCCAGCAGAAATGACAACCTCTCTGCCTCAGTTTCCCTATCTTTGAAATGGAGATAATAATAGCACCTCTTTCTCCTGGGGTGGTTGGAAGGATTTATGTGGCGTGCTTAGCCAAGTGCCTGGCACAATGTGAAGAACACTCAACCAATGTTAGTTTTATCATTATATATAAGTTATGTATTATAGCCACTATATCCTCAGCATTATAGGACCCAGGATCCCACTCAACCCACAAGCAAGATGCCAGGCCAGCCAAGAATGAGATAGGCTCTGAGACCAGCTCCTTGATCACAGAGGACAAGACATCAGGTCTCTTTCAGGGGTCGTCCCAACTCAAAAGTCTAGCAATGTCCAGAGAGGGCATGGAAGTCTTCAAGTCCACAGGGATGGTTTTTAGAGAGGTCAAAGCAGCCAGCAGTACCCCCAAGCCTGTTGTAAGCACACTAGCATGACACAGGTCTGGCCCGCGGGGATGGACCTGTAGGAAGGCAGTGTTTACAAGGTGAAAAACTTCTCTCTGATCTGGCCACTAGTGCTTGAAATTATTCTAACAGGGAACAATGCTTTTTAATGCCACAGAGCTAAGCCCTGGTGATTATGTTCACATTAAATTTTTAAAAATGGATACCAAATAGCTCCCTAGTTTTGTTTATTTTTAAGGCAGTGGACACTGTTTCTGAAAAACAGTTGAGACATACAGTGGGATGAGGAAAGCGTGCAGAGGAGAGATGCTAGGGTCCCTCCCCACCTCCCCTTTACTTCAAGGAAAACAAAGCAATTAAAGTGGCCTTTCAATAAAGTAAATGACAAAGGCATATCACATATTTCAAACTAGAATTAATGGGTGTTGTGCAGTTCATTTTCATTTACCTGCATTTGCTCACTGGAAATTTGTTGGGATTTCTTTTCTTCTATAGTTTCACTGAAATGCTTATAAATTTCATGTGCTTTGCTGCAGATATTTTGTTTCCTCAGCATCATTTCCCTGGCTGGTCTTCCATCCAAATGTCAAATGACTTTTTAGTTTTATGACTTCAGTGCCTAAGACATAACTTAGTACCACTAACAATTCAAGTGTATGTCATCCAGTATTCTTACAGATGAGAAAAAGATAGGTCTAAAAAAATTGACTAATGCCAGAATTTTGAGAACTAGAAATGTGGGTCAACTAAAGATAGTTTAGGAACTGCTGGATTCACCTGGAATGTCAGCATAAAATCTGAACTAAACCTGTTTTTTTAAAATTGTCTTTAAGATTTGCTAAAGTAATAGAAGTTGTGTTGTCAAAGTCAATCCACTCACAGATTCTGGCCATGACCCTCTAATAGTAACGTGAACCATGCTGTGAAGTGACACTCCCTAGTACTTTGGTTGCAGAGACAGCCCAATGGTTCAAACACACCTTTATTGTAAGCCTGGGAAATTACTAGGTTATGTGATTTTCCAAGGACTCTATCAAGCCTGCGATTTTATGATCCTTTATATCATGTACGTACCTGCTTTTCCTCGGAGTCGCTCATTTTTCTTACCTTTGCTTAACGAGTTTTAACTTATGGAACTATGGCGAATTCAAAATTTTTTAAATAATTCAGATTTGCTGCTAGAAAATGTCTGATACTTATTTTTATTAGTTTCAGAGTGAAAAATGCAGGATCTTGAGCCTATATAAGTAGATCATTTCCAGTTTCAAAACTCACATGTTCTTTGACTGACTGGGAATTGACTGTGAAACTTAGTGGCTCCATGTCCTCACTCTTAAGCCGAATTGGTGATGACGTGTCTAAGAGCTTTTAGCAAAGTTCATCAAAGGACAGTATAAATCCAAGCTTAATAAACTCTAAAACAGAGCATCATATCTCACATTCAAATGACGGACCACCAAACTCAGTCACACCAGGAGACTGTTCCAGTAATGACACTGCAGAAGAATCTCACATACCATTCTGAATGAGGGTTTGTGACCGTGTGAACCTTCCGTGGACAGCTGTCATGTGCAGAGGACTTTTACCATCTTTACTCTAAAAAATGAGAGAGAGAGAAACAATGGGCCAGTGACATCAATCTGAAACATTCCTATGGACATTGCCAGCAATGCTCAGTAAAGTGTATGTGATATCGCAAGTTATTGCCTAACTTCACATTTTTTTTATTGAAGTATTTACAATGTTGTGTTAGTTTCGGGTGTTCAGCAAAGTGATTCAATTATACATATATATATTCTTTTTCAGATTCATTTCCATTATAGGTTATTGAAAAATACTGAATATAGTTCCCTGTGCTATACAGTAGGTCCTGTTATTTATCTATAACATCACATTTTAAAGAAGCTTCGAGACGTGGAAATTATTCTAGAGAAGAAAAGGAAAATTTTTAGTTACATGGACAATTTTTAAACTACCCTGGTTTAAACTGAGGAAATCATCCAAAACATTTTTTCATCTCCTGTGATCTACCGGTGAAGGTTTCCTTCAAGGAGTTTTATTTTTCAGCTTTTAAAAAAAATTGAAGTATAGTTAATTTACAATGTTGTGTTAGTTTCTAGTGTATATTAGCAAAGTGACACAGTTATACATATATAGTATATATTATTTTTCATATTCTTTTCCATTATACAGTATAATGGATAGTATATGCATAGTTTATTACAGTGTTTTTTTCACCTTTTGTCTATAGTACATGAAAAAAAGACAAATGATGTATTAACTTGTTTGGCCCTGTTTGACCTGAAGGTGACTAAACTGCTAAAACTCACTGCAACTCTCAAAATTGACCTGAAATCCTCCACCATTCTCTACATTCTAATTCCACAGAGAAACACCACTTTCGATTATTCCAAAAGAGAAACATTTGCTTCACTTAACTCATTAGAAATCATAGGATTAAGATATGCAAATCGCCATGTTAATGATTATCTGGAAATACGTGCTGAATTTATACATCTCTTTATTATTCAAGATATAAATGATGGCATTCTCTCTCACAGATTAAGCCAAAAGATGAAAAATGTACAGAATCCATACATTAGTCATCATTACACCAAATACCAAAGTCCTACACATTTGATTAAGAAATAATCATTTACAGAATTTCTTCTAAAAATAGTGATACCCAAACGAAAATATTACTGTTATTTTAGACCCAAAGTATCCCCAACTGAGAGAATATATTATGTATTCTTTCATTCAGATATTATTTAAAAAAGAAAAGAAAAGAAAGAAATTTATGTAACTATTCTTTTTCTAAGTCTCAGAAGAAACGTTTTCCTAAGCCTGAGGTTAAAATATGAGATTTCAAAAACACAAGTTCATTTTTCTGATGAAATTCAAATACGTGTGCTTTAAAATGATTCTTTCAAAAACTCTACAATGGAAAACAAATAATCACTTAAATATTTCTCAGAGTGAACCACAGACTACCTGCATCTGGATCACCTAGGATTCTTGTTAGAGATGTGAATTCTGTGCCCTAACCCAGACCTAAACTGAATCAGAATTGATTTCATTTCTAACTTTCACAGCACATTAAAGTTTAGGAGCCACTGGAATAGCTTATAAAACCACAAGGTTTAACAGAAGAATATTTATTATATCCTTTAAGTCTATTCCTTAGACTTAAGAAAGGAACTACCCACAATCTGTGCCAAGGGAAGAGTTAGTCAGAGTGGTAACTGCATGTTGAGTGAAGTAAATAATCATTACAGTGAAAGGTTCTCAGGTTGATGGGGAAAAAAATAGAAAAAATAGGATTTTTTCTCCATCTTAATCTTGTATGATTATAACCTGAATTACAAAAGATTGAGAAAGGAAAGGAAGATGGAAGTAAGCTTGAAGCTCTACTGAAATTATATCTTTAGGGAAAAGGAGAATTAGTCAAGAAAATGAGGCTATGATGCCATCACCAATCGTAAGACATGACGGAGAAGAGCTCCTAAAAGCTTTCTGATTCCAGAGCCTGGGTCTTAGCTGGGATAAATGCAGACAATTCAAAAGACTAAAAAGTCTGGGAACCACTTAGGAATAAGGAGTTAAGACATACTCCCTCCAACAAAAAAGTGATGACAGCCCAAGGCTCTTAAGGAGAAAGAAAACAGAAATTGCAGACCTGACATTCATTTGTCCCTAGATGGTGCTATTTCTTTAAATTTTGCTCCAGTAATTTCCCTTAAATTTAAGATGAAAACATAACTTATTAGCATTTAGTTAAATATATATAAAGCTGTACATATTTCAGTGTTTAGATAATGTCTTTATAAATATTTAACCAAGCACTTTTCCATGCCTAGAAAAGAGCTTAAAGGCTAGGAGTAACCACCAACCTGGTGGTCACTAACTAAACTGCAGCCAGAGAGCCAAAGCAGACGTCGCCAGTTTCTACAATATATAGTTTACAAAGCTGGTCCCATTTCAAGGACAGTAAACACCATACCCTTTTCCTCCCTTGGAGTGTTTGTGCTTTTGGTAAAGGGACAAACAGACATGACCAAAGTTAGGTTAAAAGAAAAGGATTGCAATATGGTCAACGGTGATGCTTGATTCAGATCTTTGCCTGAGTTCACATACCACTGAAGACAGACCTTAGCTGACTTTTTTTTACTCTCACTGGGATACGGGTGGCAGGAGGTCGGGAATTGGGGACAGGAAGCATTAAGGGTATCATAGCGGTAATTTTGGGGCAGCTTTGTTTATATGGTATAGGTGTAAAGGGAACTCATTTCAAAAAAGCCATTGAAAACCAATGAAGGTCAAAAGACTAGTACTTTTTATTTAGCCTTTACAAGTTAGAATTCAGAATATTCAGGCTGAGACTGAGGATCCTACTGAGTTTCATTATCTGCCTGAGAAATTTTTCACATGAGGGTGGGGTCGGGTGGCGGGGAACTTGCCGTTTGCTGCTGCTGGCCCTAGAACTTCAGATACCAAACATTCCCGGAATGATCAAAGGAGCAGAAATGATCAGTTCTCCCACTTATTCAAAGCTTTGCTTTTAGAAGAACTTCATTTCTAGCCTCCTTCTGATTTCTAGGTGCATATATTCTCCCAGAGCAGATTTAGGGCTTGGAAAATTTTGTTACCTTGAGAACTTGCTTAATAGCTCTCCTATTGACTTATGGTTCAGCGATAGTCATGAAAGAAAACCAATGAGGACTAAGAATATTTTATGACAAATATTAGTATTCTTTCAGGGCAGAATTCACCATCATCCAAGGAAGATTAATCCTTGAATTAATGAAGCGTTTCCATTCTCAGAAATCCATTCATTCTTTTCTTCCACTTCTAATGCCTTCTTTCCTCCTCCTCCCATAAATCTTCCCTAAACTTAAATACACAGTTACTCCCCAGGAAGGTGAAGGCACTGTGTTCTCTGTGGCACAGTGCCCCCTGGCACCACAAAGCTCAGTGGCTCTGGTGGAGGGCAATAAAGTCTCTATAAAATAAATATAGCCAGAAACCCCAAAGGGCTTCCTAATTCAATGGAAGAGCAATCTAATACCCTGGTGTGCAAAAAGCCATATACAGTCTAATTTTTTTAATGCTTCTAAAGGCTGGAGATGGCACGTGGTTGGCTCAGACATTCACCCTCCTCCTTTCCTCACTTCCTCTCTTAAGATCCAAGGGACGTGTCGCTATTACTGCTTACTCTTGCCTCCAGTTTCATCTTCAACCTCTGCAATGCAATTATAGAATATAACTTGGTCCTGGTACATACAAAGAAGGGAGCTGGTCCACTTCAGTAAATGTGTGATGGGCTTCAGTTCCAGTCTCTTAGGGTTAAGTGATCTAAAGGGCCCGTGCACAGAAAAGAATTGAGACCATAGGCAGGCGGACTGTTAGGCAGGCAATGGTAATTTCTGAATCTATCTTTCTAAGTCATATCCAGCATGGCCACGTGTTGACTGTCTTCTTTAGTGCTTAGCTTGAGTGCTTCCCAAAAGAGCCTTGAGATGCTACAAAAATTACAGAGAAGGGAAATTATTTCATACTTCCTCATGCTCTTCCTATTTGCAAAAAAAAAGTAAACTTTCAACAGATTATTGTATTAAGTATTGTGTCTCTATTATTTTATAATAATTAAACTTTGTGATTTCACAATATTCGAAATCAAGGACAGGGCCATGGTCAATCTAAGCAAAATGAGGGACTGTAAAATGCATGCAGGACACATAGCCTTCCTCCCCTCTCCATCATCTTGCAACTTCTCATGAAGATGTCACTTTTGGTGTTTTGTGAGGACAGAGGAAAACAAAGTGAACACGTGAGTAGGTATTGGCTACATTTCAATCTGCTATTTTCTTCTAACTTTGGAAAATCTAAACAAATACAAATTGTCTTGCAGTCTACAAACACTTTCAAAATCCAGGGGCAATGTGGTGCAGAGAGATAACAACCTCCAGTCAGACTGAATGGCTCCACGGAAATGTTAGATGATCCATGCATCCAGAGTTAACTAATAAAGATTCAAGAGAATTAGGATGTAGATATAGTAGACGGGGAGACTGAGGGAGAAAGCTAGATCTGATTCAAAATCCCATTTACACGGATTAGATAATACATAAACCCAAGTCTCAGACTATTTTTTAATGGTGCTTCTTATACTCTATTGATGATTAGCAGTCTACAGGAAAAAATTAACTATTAAAATTAAGTAGCTATGCTTTCCATGTCCATTTTGTGGGGGAGAAGAGAAGGCTGCCATAAACCAAGGCACCATACCTAGTTGAAGCCTCTTATCTGATCTAAACTGGCTGCTAGTCAGTTACCTGGGAGAAGTAGGTAGGTAGGTAGGTATATGCCAGAAAGTGGCTTTCTAACCTCAGTATCGGGCACACTGAAAGCATCAGTTGGCATGTTTTACAGAGGAAATGGAGAGCATCAGATAATCCCGTGAATTAATTAAGGTTGGTAAAGAGAGATGCTTTATCTAACTTCAATAATGTTCCTTCCTTTAGAGGATCCACAGGATGTCCCTCAGACATTAGGATGGCAAGAAAAGTGTCACAAGTCTTGGGGACACTGACGGTTGAGCCACCTGTTTGCCTCCTGTCCTCCACCACCCTCCTCTTAGACTTTAACCCCACATGTTGGCTCTTTCCCCACCTTGGTTTCTTTGTTGCCCCTAAAGACCTTCATCCTACCTCCACGTAGGACCTTGGATGGGGTCCCCTTACAAGATCTGGAACTCTGAAATTCTCTTCAGCTAGTTTACTTTTTCACTTCTGCCTGCTTTCTACCTTCATGAAGACACTCCATCCCCTTCGTTTCCTTCCTATCTTCCCTAACTCTTCTTTTTTTTGTTGTTGTACGCGGGCCTCTCACTGTTGTGGCCCCTCCTGTGGCGGAGCACAGGCTCCGGACGCGCAGGCCCAGAGGCCACGGCTCACGGGCCCAGCCGCTCCGCGGCATGTGGGATCTTCCCGGACCGGGGCATGAACCCGTGTCCCCTGCATCAGCAGGCGGACTCTCAACCACTACACCACCAGGGAAGCCCAGATTTCAATTCTTATACTCATCTTTATCTCCTTCATCTCTTGTCCAACGAAATCCCAGCGATTTCCTTTCTGCAAAGCCTCTCCCTCCGTTGGCTGTCCCCATCCCCCTCTCCTCATTACCTCTTATCCAGACCCATTTCATTGACTTCCAGTTAGCTTCTATTTGTCCCCTCCCTAGGTCCACTATATCTGAAACTATTTTTTTATAAAAATAGCTTTTTTATTCTTTTGGATATAAAAATAACACATGCTTATGGCATCACAATAAGAAGATTAAAACAAATATATTGAAAAGCAACTAAAAAGCCAAATCATAATTTTGCCTCGCTGGAGTGATAACTGTTGCTAGGATACTGATGTAGATTCCAGATATTTTTCTCTTTCTATGCATATACATAGACACATACTTTTTGAAATAATAAAACTGGATATTTATTTATTGCATTTTAATTTTTCATTGATTACTACACTGGGCATTGCTAGTCTTTTGGATACTTGCCAATTTTAAAGGCAAATATTAATGTATTAGTATTATAAAAGTATTAGTTTGCATTTCTCTAATGACTAGTAATACTGAATATCTTTTCATAAGTTTAATGGATATTATATTCTTTCTCTTGTGATCTGCATTTACCCATATTTTCTAGGACTATCAGACTTTTTCTTATTGATTTTTATGAGCTCTTACATATTAAATATGTTAACTCCTTGCTTATATGTATATTGCAGAAAAATTTCCGAGTTGCTCCCCTTTCAATTTTATGTTAAGGTTTTTGTTTTTGTCTTTTTTGTTGTTTTGTTTGTTATATAAAAGTTTAAAAATTTTATGTAGTCATATATACATTTATTTCTTTATGTTTTCTGTCTCTGGTTTTGTGGCCAGATTACTGTTTCTAATGCTCAGTTCTGACCATGTGGCCTCTATAATGATTAGTGGACCCACACCCTATAGAGGCCCCAACTCCTTGGCCAGTAGATAAGTGCTCATTCTTGGTCAGGTCACATTTCAGCTTGTTCCTGGCTCCTTTCTTTCATATGATTTGTACTCCATTCAATCAAAATAAATCGCTATTCTGAGAATTTGTCCCATATTTCCCCACTATTATAAATTAAATGAAAAAATATAAAAGGACTTTAATAGTGAATAGAGAAGATCATTAAAATAGACTGATCCAATATTCTTGAAATTAAACCTTGGAAATAACAATTTTTCAAAAGCAGAGACAGAATACACTGGGACCTCGCTTTACAATTCCTGTGTGCTTGGGAGAAGGGAAGCTGAGGATGCGAACAAGGTCACTTGGTATAAATCAGGATATTCTGCTACAATCTAAATGCATCCAAGTGATGTAACCTGGATCATGAAGGCTACCTGCAAAAGTTCCTCTTGGTTATCTGTTGCAGTGAGCAGACTGGTTACCTAAAGTTTACCTATCGAGACCTCTCAACTCCTTTGCTTGCCATTCTATGTATCTGGAATGTCCTCTCTCAAATTCTCTCTATCCCTCCTCATCTCAACTGATATCAATCTTCAGCTCAAAAGCAATCTCTAGTTTTGATGCCCAAGCAAAAAGCAAGTCAGTACTTACTTCTTATAGTTTGCAGCACTTTATTAATTTCTCACGCCACTCATGACATTCTCTCTTGCCCCATGATTATCTGAGTACATTATCTCCTTGCCATATCGTAAATTCCTTGAGGGCACCTTGGAGTATACACCCAGTACCAAAAAGAGGGCACTAGGGAGTCCTCAGTAAGTTTGCTGAGTAAAGGAATTACCATTAAAACCAGATTAATATCATATACTTGAAGCCACTATCTGGGGTTTACTCCAGGAAGCCATTTGAGAAACTCCTTGGAGGGCCTTGCGGGTTGGAAACAGACCTGAGATCGTTAGGTTTGGCTTCCTTTTCATGCTCAGCATCTCTGCCCTATCAGCTCAACATTCACCTCAGTATTAGAATCTCAGCCAAGTCCACATCCCTGAGACCCAGTATTTGCTCCCGTATATTCACTAAGCTACCAAGGGCACGTGGCTAGAACCTCAGTGTCATCCACGGGTACCACCAGTGCTGCAGAAGTTTCCACATCATGACAATATAGGATAAGTCCGCAAAAATCAGGACGCTTAGAGTTACAATTCACTAATTGTAATTTACAGCAGGTGAGTTTGCTCAAACAGCCTCAACGCAAAGGTACTTCACACTGAGAGAGGGAGACTGAGAGAGAGTCATACCTGAATGTTAACATCCGCCCCGTTGTTTACTAATAGTTCAAGACACAAAGCACCGTGTGTGGAGGCAGCAGCAAAATGCAACGGGGTGAATCCGCTGGTATTGGGCTGGTTCACATTAGCACCGTAGTCGGTCAGCTCGTTGACTACAGCATCCTGCCCGTTGTAGCAGGCCAGGTGGAGGGCCGTGTTTCCATATACGTTGATTTCATCAATCTGCAAGTGAGTCCAACATGGGCGATTAAAAGCACTGAAGCCAATTCACTCCATTTCCCACCAAAAGCCTACCGGCTGTGCTGGAGAAAGGAAATACCCATCTGTCAGTGTGACCATTCAGAGCTTACTCTTGCCCCAGCGTGGTCATCCTGGGAAGGCTTCTCACGCAGAGGTAAAGGTCAACAAAATGTGAAAGTGACAAAAAGTGAGCTGGGAGGAAGAGTGAGAGGTTTCCATTCGTGGCAAGATATCTTTCAGCTAGGGAAGGGATAAAAAGGGAAAGGCAAAGCTGCCTCAAAACACCAGAGGAGAACTGAATCGGGGGAGCAAGAAAACAGCCCGAATCTCAACAGTGAACAGAAGAGGAAAGGGTGGGAGGTGCTCAGGGAGCTGCTGTGGGGCCTGAACTCAGAACCCGCTCTGATGACACCTCAAGAGGCCACATTCTGGTGGCTGGGCTGTGGAGCTGCCCTGGTTATTTGGCCCCCAGCTCCCTCTTGCTCTCCCAGACCTGCCCTGACTGCTGTTATCACCATCGCACTATTGCAGCTCGGTTTTCCTTTCCTCCGGGACAGCCGCACTACTGCTCCCGCCCTGCTACCTACGGAGAATGGGGTGAGGTCTACTTCTGCAGCTCAGCATGTTCGTCCTGCCATTCATTCATTCATTTCTGCTTGGAAGCCACGATTTAGAAGGCTAGGTTCTAAAGGTGGGATGATGAAACCTCGCCAGTCTTTTACAAATGACTGGTGGATATGTATCCTAGATGTTAAAATATTTCTCTATGTTGATATAGAAAGTTAGTCTGTTTCTGGCTTTCTAGGACTTAGCATATGCCCCACTGCCCTTCATCAGTTGCCCATGTAAACTCAATGGTAAGAAATGAGGGTTTGTTTTTTTTTCTCCCTCTTGAATTAAAATGCAAACAGGATTTAATTTCAGAACAACAGAAAACCCACAAATGCACCATGGGGTGATGGCTGAATCATAGCTCACCTCCACCCCCAGATTCAGGAGATGCTTGACAACGCTGATCTGCCCGTTGGAGGCCGCGGCATGCAGGGGCGTGTAGCCCTTCTTATCCTTACACGTCACTTCCGCGCCGTGGTTAACGAGCAACGCCACAACGTCCAGGTGGCCTGTAGAAACAAAGCAGCAGAAAACATCGTTAACCTTTATAGGACAATTTGACAAGTCATTCCACCTGAATTATCACCATCAGCCTTTATTGCTGCCAGCATCTTGCTAAGCTGTTTATAAAAAGCTGCTTCATAGCAAATATCCAACAAATATTTAGGGAGTACATACTATGTGTCAGGCATCATGTAAGTGCTGTGGGAAGAAAGAAGATGATTCACGTGTGAGCCTTCTCTTTAAGGAGATCGATGCCTGTTTACAAATAAATAATGTGGAGGTCCTGCCAATATGTTAGAACCAGAGACTAAAAAATATCATGTCAAATGAAAGCAATGCTTTTGAAACCAACTGCCATTCTTCACTGAAAAAGTCTAACAATGACAATTTGGTTTGGAAAAACTAATGAAAGAAAAAAGATCAATTAATCAGAACTCCAGATTATTGTTAAATCATATGCAACTGCTGCTGTTTGACCCTTTTTTGGGCCCACAAGAATGGCAACTTCATATGGTTCAACTTCAAATTCTCATGAATTGCTGGCTAAACTGAAAACCCTTCTAGTTTCAACTCCTGTTGGCATATTTTCTAGAATATCTTCCTTTGTTCTCTATCTTGCTACATATACAACGATAAATGTATTTGACCTTTATTTCCTGACTAAAGATTGTTCAATGCTTCAAGATCATTGCTCTAAACATTGTTGATAACTGAAGGGTAGAAGATGAGTACTGGTTCCAGGGCCTAAAACGTGTGCGTGCGTGTGTGTGTGTGTGTGTGTGTGTGTGTGTGTGTGTGTGTGTGTACACAAGAGAGACAGAGTTTTGTCTTGGCTAGTTTTATGAAGACTTTTATACAGAAAAAAACTATTTTGAATTACTGGTGGTGCTATCTTAAGCTCTTTGCCCTGGTTTTGTCCATTAGTCCCTAAAGACAGTCATCTGTATATGTTTTCCTATATGTATCCTGATGACACACAAAAATGTAACTTTACTGCTTTAAAGCAGTTCTACACATATGTTTTAGCCATGTATCAGCAAAGAACAAACGTGAAACTCCAGGTTCTTGGAGTCCCACGTCACACTAGCTTAGTGTGTGCTCTGCCTAAACATCATCTGGCAAATGCTCACTGGCTCCAGTCCTGCAGGGACCATGCAGACATCCAACCTGCTACAAACAACTCGAAAGTCCGTGTCACCTTGTAAAAAAGGATAATGCGTGCAAAATCTTAAGATTCTGTTTTTTTAAGTCCGAGAATTCATTCAGGCCTATCTATAGCCACAGAATTTATTTCATCCCTGCCCCAACCCATTCTCTTTTTTCTCCCCACAATTAACATTATTAATTTTTATGATAATAAAAGGTCCGTAGGCTTATTAAAAAGGATTCAGAAAAGGCAAAAAGGAAACCAAAATCATCCACAATCCCTTGAGATACTCAGTTAATATTTCAGCATTTAATACATCCCAGGTTGTTTTCATTTTATAGATATTTTTAACAAAAATGAGGATCGTATTATTCATACTGTATTACGATCTGTTTTCACTTAACGTATCACAGAATCTTTCTGTGTTAAGAAAATACTAATGATATCATCACTGTAGTTACTACATAGTGTCCCATTGTGTAGATCTTTCACAATCTCCTGTGCTGTGATGAGCAGTCAGGGTGTTTATAACTTGGTGCTGATAGAATCCTGCTTTTCTGCTTTTCTAATTGCAGGATGTTCTCCAATTAGAAACACAAAGGAAGGATCTTAGTTCTTTTAGTTCTTCATTTCCCAAGTGTCAACACTGAGAATAAACTCTATGAGGGCTCTCATTTGTCAGTGGTACTAGTGCCAACAAAAGTGAAGAGGAAAAGCATAGCAATGTAACGTCTTCCTTTGTCTTCTGCACCCGAGCTGGCAGAAACAAGGAGCAAGCCCCCCTTTATTCCTTCCTTTTCGTTTCTTTCAGGAATATTTATAAATTAAAAAGACAAATGAAATTTACATCCTTGCTTTGCTAGCCCGTCCTTCTTTCTCTTTAAACACCTTATTTTGCTGCCATAACAAGTTAAAATAAGCACGACATCCAGGGTGCTGTCCTTTATTCCTTCCTTTTCGTTTCTTTCAGGAATATTTATAAATTAAAAAGACAAATGAAATTTACATCCTTGCTTTGCTAGCCCGTCCTTCTTTCTCTTTAAACACCTTATTTTGCTGCCATAACAAGTTAAAATAAGCACAACTTGTGCAGCTTTCCAATCCAGATCGAAACACATTCAATGAAGTCCATGCCATGATTCATCCCTCCTGCTCTCTGTAGGATAAATAAATCTCTGACAAAGCAACTGCCCAATGAGAGTGCTCTGTGCATGCCAGTACAAGGACAGAATCTTAATTCAATTGAATCCCAAGCTTAAAAAGAAGTCAGGCTCGCGCAAGAGAAAACCTGCATGGTCAGTGAGAAACCCGGGGCTTTTTTAGTTCAAGTTATCTGCACTTTGCTTTCCATTCATGGAATCCTTACCCATGTAAGCTGCCCAGTGCAGAGCACGCCGATCCTTCTTGTCAAACGCATTGATGTTTGCCCCTTTGGCCAAGAGTAAATTAACCATCTGAAAGACAACCGACAGTGAAATCAAGTGTATACTCTGTAATGGTGAGGGGTCTTCACCCTCAGCAGGTGATGTGAGCCAAATTATTGTCCAATCTAAAGGCAGGTCAGAGATCTGAAGTTCAAAGTAGGAAGACACCACGGCCAACCTGCGGCATGTGTGTCCGAGGGAAAGACTGAGGTGTCGGCTACTTTTTCAATTCATTGTGGCTCTAAATTTAAAAATAGGTACAGTTGCCTAAGGTTTGGTGTACAAATATTATTGTCACATTATCTAAAAGCCTCAGCAATGAGATTAGGTTCCACATGGGGCTAAGAGGGTCTGTGGGGAGGATTCTTGTTCTCAGTGATGAGGACATTGACCTCCACGTGGCCATTCAGAGCGGCATGGTGCAAGGCTGTGCGTCCCCCTCGGTCAGAGACGTTGACGCTGCTCAGCAGGGGGATGATGACTTCCGCACACTTGACAGCCTTATTGGCTGCTGCCACGTGCAGCGGGGTCTGCCAGTTCTTGTCCCTCGCGTTGACGTCAGCCGAGTGCTTAATCAACACTTGCACTGCTTCCTACAACAAAAGCAGAATTTGCAGGGGTCACTGACAAACACTCAGTCAATCCTTATTGCGTATAAGATGCTTCACCAGACCCTGGAACTACAGAAAGGGAAAGGCTCCCTTTCTGGCTCATGACAGGCTGGCTCATGACATATATTCTTCTGAGACAAGCAAGGTCATACGGGATGAAGATTAAAAGAGTGGCACAGATTAAAACAGATTCGCTCTCCCTTTCTCTGTTAGGCCAAGAGCCCTGGCAAAGCTCCAAAACCAAATAAACTTCCAAGTGTAAGGTTTCCTTACAAAATATAAGGTATCCTTAGGCCAAACGAGAGCACTCACGTGCAAGTGTGCACAGCAGGTTAAAAGAGCCATAGACCAAAGGGCCCCCAAAGATCCTCCAAGGTTAGCCATACTTGTCAGTAAGCCTCCATCTTCCAAAGCCAAAGGCCCCAAAGCTCTCCAGACATTCTTGGATCAATTTATAAATCTTTGGTTCTCTTGGTCAAATCTCAACCCTCCCTGTGTGATCAATAAGCAGTCAAGGGAAGAGGATGTCTATTACCACCATCAATTTGAAGTTACGAAATTGTTCCTTCTTTCCCCAATCTTTTCTGTTAAAATGAGACTTTTTTTCTGCTATTGAGTCCCTTCACCCTTACTGAGCCTTCCACTTTTGATTTTCCTTCTATTGACCTAATCATCTTATTAGCCTCTTGAACTATAACTCTCCACCTTGGCTGTGCAATGGAATCACCTGGGGAGTAAAAATACACATGACCGTTCAGTATTGATTCTAACTGGCCTCAGAATGTCTGTAAAGCTCCCTGGGGACTCTGTTATGCAGCCAGGATTGAGGACACTCTTCTCTTTAGTCAAGTAAATGACATAGCTTCTCTCAAGAGAAGGGAACGGCTGTCGGTTGTTTCGCTTTATGTCTAGAGACATCCCTGAGACCAGTTGGATGTCCCTGGCTCCTTTATGGACATCTTGTCAATGTGGCATCAATAGACCAATGAAAGGCATTAGTACCACATTCCTGCCACCCTTCATGGACAAAGAACTTACCCGTGTCCAGCTTAATCCCCAAACACCTGGACTGTCTATCAACTTTATCATGCAGGTATATAAAGAATCCCCAAAAAGTAGATGATTTGAACTCTCAGAATTAACATTTTAACCAGGGACATAAATGATGAAATAAAAAAAAATGTTCCATGAATCAGTAGTGGCAACATATTGAGATGAATGGCTAACTTGAACAGTAGAATGAGAGCAAAAAGAAGTTAACTTTGCAAATTAGAGAATACACTTTAAGAAAACAATGGGGCTCCATTTAGATGCTATAAATAAAGGGCAATAAACTGATAGGATCCAAGCAAACAATCAATTTGTTAAGATTACCAAAAAGGAAAAAAAAAAAGATATATGCCACCCATCCTCAGCACAACTGATGATAATGACTATTAAATAGTCCTTGAGCCCATTTTAGAGTGAAACATGTGTACATGTATTATTAATGCTTGCTTACTATGTAAAAAACACTGTTAGAACTATGGAAGATTGAAGGAAACATTAGTCAGGCTCTATCCTAAAAACTAGGTGGGTGAACAAAAAAGAAAAGAAAAGCTAGATCACAATATACACGTTAAGATTTAAATAAGAGAAAAATAATATTTTTATCAACTTTCATCTCATAAATTATGCAGTTTATGTAGATGTGCAGTCAATTGTGATATGGGAAGAAAATATTGGAACCTCCATTTATATTTTATTTCTTTAAAAAGGAAAGCATTTAAGCTGGTATTTAACTTCTGGATTGGTGTCCTGCCCTCAGTCAGCTCCATGGAAGATCTTGCCTCACAGTGTTGGAGATGCCCTCAGGGAGGGGTGGGGCTTCCACAGTGTTGGAGGGGCGGGGCTTGCCCTCTCCATTCATTCACTTTGAGTGCACTGAAATACAGAGTGATGGCCTGCCGAGTCCATTTACAGATGGTAATACGTACCCTTAACTTAAAAACACCCTAAAATGGACAAGATTTATGCAAGGAACCCACAGATTAAAGATAATAATAATACCAATGCAAGCATAAATGATGTGAAAGTCACAGAGCTGACACCTCTACTCCTCGTAAAAGCTTTCTATCACCTACATTACAAGGTAAAAGTAATGACAAATTTAATCAGATCTGACAAGAGCTTGGCAAAAACAGAGAAATCATCAAAAGTCTATTATCTAGGGCTTCCCTGGTGGCGCAGTGCTTAAGAATCCGCCTGCCCGTGCAGGGGACACAGGTTCGAGCCCTGGTCCGGGAAGATCCCACATGCCATGGAGCAACTAAGCCCGTGCACCACAATTACTGAGCCTGCACTCTAGAGCCTGTGAGCTACAACTACTGAGCCCACGTACTGCAACTACCGAAGCCCATGTGCCTAGAGTCCATACTCCACAACAAGGGAAGCCACTGCAATGAGAAGCCCACGCACTGCAAGGAAGAGTAGCCCCCACTCGCTGCAACTAGAGAGAGCCCGTGTGCAGCAAGGAAGACCCAACGCAGCCAAAAATAAACAAATAAATTTATATATAAAAAAAAGTATTATCTATATGGTTATTTAAGACTAGGACAAATGAAAAGCCTCACTTTAACATTTCACCTGTGCCTTGAAATATTATCTAATGATAGTAGTTCTTATATATAATTTATAAATAAATGAGATGCATATTCTGGAGATGCATGCTGAAAACGTTTTGCAGATACGTGGCCAAAAGGGTTGGAGATAACCATCTCAAAAGCAGTACTATAAAAAACGGTATATATCCTTTTCACACATTCACAGCAAAATAACAATACATACTGTCTCTTTAATACCTTTGCTTTGTATATTATTTTACTGTACTTGTACAGATTCTTGCTTTGCATTAAATATTATGTAAATTCAGGATAGACTAACAAAACAGAAAATGTACAGGAACATTTCACAAATTTATACTATAAGACCAATTCATGAGAAATTTGTTTTTTAAAGGTAACAAAATGTGATTGCTTTTAGAGTAACTGCGACTAGGTGAATGAGATATTACCTAGGAGAGGCCCTACTTTTAAACGAATATTTAGGAATGATTTGCATTGTACACACAGCAATACTTTAAGCAAAGAAAATATACATTCATATGCCAGTTATAGTTTATATATAAATAAGTGATTTAGAGTTTGTGGGGAAAAAAATGTATTCTTAAGTAGACAGTACTTCTAAAAATATTTTAATCAGATAAATTTTGGTTTGGTTTTGTAAATAAAATTTTATTGGAACACAGCCTCATTCATTTGTTTACATATTATCTATGGTTGCTTTCAAATTATAACAGCAGAGTTGAGTATTTGTGACAGAGACCACATGCAGCCATCAAAGCTTAAAATATTTACTATCTCACCCTTCACGGAAAAAGTTTGCAGACCCCCTGGACTAGCTCTCTGTCTGAATTACCACAAACTGTAAATGATCAAATCTGGTTAAAATAAAATTTTGCTATTTACCAGCATGAAAAAATACTATTTTTAAGTCCAAATAGTCTTTTAAGGAGGGCAGGTCCTATGAAAAGAGTCAGAGGCCTCTGAGTTCAGCTCTTGCTATGTGATGGTGGGTCTACAGTGAATTTTGGGAGGGGGCCAAACAGAGTTGCATTGCTCTGCATAATAGAGTGGGAAGCATTTAGAGCTTGGCAGGAAGGATGGGATGAGGACAGAGAGACTGGAGAGAGGACGTGGCCCTGCATCCCAGGGAGGAGGTGTACATCTGGGTGGGAACAGAGTCAACAGGCCAAGAGGGAAGAGGAGAAAGCGGATGCATAAACCCAATGAATGCAGCAAGAGCAGGCTTGTGGAGCCAGGCAACCAAAACTCAAATCTCCAGGAATTCTTTGGAATTGTTGGGAGAATATCAGACTTTGAACAAGTGGTTTCCAGTCAGTCATATCCATTTAGAAGGCTAGATGCCCCTGACCAACATCTGGGTTACACCTAAAAAATTAGAAAAGGAAAAGGTTCAAGTTCATTGATCAGATAGGAAAAAAAGAAGCGGGTAGGGTCTCTAATAAATTTCTTTTCATGTGAACTTTACATAATTCCCATGTGAGTGCCCATTTCACCACGTGTCTTTTGTACCAACACTCACTTTCACAGTTCAAGGACACCTAGAATAACCGTTACTTTTATTTCTCCAATTTTATAAAATGTTTTAACTTTGCCATTCTCCATTTTTACTTTTATATCTGCTTATATAGTGAATTGAACAGTTTTCATCTTACTTGACAAGAAAGGACTCTATCAGGGAATACTTAGTATACAAAGGAGGGGTTCTTATTCAATTTCCAAGGATTAACCTTTTTTTAAAAAATGAAAATGCAAGTATAAAATGATTATGGAATTAAATTCACAGATATACCGGATATTAGAAGTAGAAAAGGCCTCAGGGGGCATCCAGATTGCCCCCTCATTTGATAGGCAGCTTCATTTTATAAGGGAAGATGGCTGAAGATGGTTTGCCAGCCTGGGTTTAAGGGCTTGTGCATTTTCTAGTAGGTCAGAGCTTACTCAGCACACAGTAACAGCCAAGGACCCTGACATAAATACTTTGAAATGTTAATTCTCCTTAGTTATTTACCTTTTTAAACTCTGAAGTTTTAGCCTGCCAAACTGGCTTCGTAAATTTAATAGAAATGTAATACAATATTTTCACAAAAACGAAGCTTTGATTTAAAAAGACTACAATTTCCTTTTTCAAAGTTGCATTTCTCTTTCAAAAATTTTAATCTTGTAAGCATTTTAACTTGGTTCTAAAAGGAAGTAATGCTATGGCTATTTAGGGAATTACTGATTTTTGTAATCAAAAGAAGTCTCTCTTTTCCTGTATCACACATTGGCTAAAAAATTAACAGCTAGGAGTTTGTGCTGACAGAAACTTACAAGGTAAAAAGGAAGCTAATGTGGGAGAAGGGAAGCTGAACAATTTCT